AATTTGGTAACAGCTACCGGTCAGCGTATAACCGTCCGTGGAGAGAAAGAGATGGAGTTGAAGCTAGACAACATGATCTACCTGCATAATGTCATCATGGCTGATATAATGGACGACTGCATCCTGGGCCTAGACTTCATGAGGAAGAATTGTTGTGCGATTGACGTTAAGCAAGGTGTCTTGAAATATGGACAAGAGGAACTTTTTGTGGAAGGAGCGTTACCAGGGAACGTGTACAGCCTTGAGAAGATTGTTCTTCCGCCGAGATCGGAAACGTTTGTGCCGGTTAGTCTTCCTCGGAATCCTGGGCAACATCATCGTTGTGTACTCGTGGAAAGGTTAGAAAATGACCTTCCATGGAAAGTGTCTCGAACCTTGGTCAGAACCACTAACATCTCAGGAGTACGTGTACTGAACCTTTGTGGCCAGGAACAGATTATAGAAAAAGGCACACTGGTTGCTACTTGTGAGGAAGTGGATTGGTGACGTCGGTGCCAATATCTATCGACTGGGACCAACAGCAAGGATGCACAAACTAGAGTGAGCACACTTTTAGAAGACTGTCGCAGCGTTCTCTCCCCGAATGAAATGGTCAAAGCGAAGAAGTTGTTACTCAATTATGCCGATGTATTCTCATCAAACGATGTTGACATAGGAAAGACTGGCTTAGTTCAACACAAAATAAACACAGGTGAAGAATTGACTATCCGTCAGCGGCCAAGAAGATTGCCGGTAGCACGTGAAAAGGAATTGGAAACCATGATTGAGGGAATGGTGAAGGATGGTGTTATTGAACCTTCATCTAGTCCATTGTGTTCTCCTGTGGTACTGGTAAAGAAGAAGGATGGCAGCATGCGGTTTTGTGTTGACTACCACCGTCTGTCTGAACGACGTTACTAAGAAGGACAGCTATCCCTTGCCAAGAATTGACGACACGCTGGACATGCTTACAGGAGTAAAATGGTTTAGCAAGCTGGAACTAAAAAGTGGTTACTGGCAAGTTAAAATTGACCCTAAGGACAAGGAGAAAACTGCGTACTCAACGGGAAAGGGTCTGTGGCAATTTAAAGTAATGCCGTTTGGGTTGTGCAATGCTCCAGCAACGTTTGAAAGGCTGATGGAACTTGTACTTACCGGGCTAATTGGCGATGCCTGTCTGGTCTACTTGGATGAAATCATCATCGTGGACGGTACGTTTGAGGAACACCTTCAAAACCTGGAACGCGTGCTCATGAAGATTCAGAGTGCCAACCTCAAGTTGAGTCCGAAGAAATGTTCACTATTCAAACGGCAAGTCAACTTTTTGGGGTATGTAGTGTCGGAAGAAGGTATCCGCACGGATCCAGAGAAAATCGCAGCTGTAAAGGATTGGCCGGATCCAAAAGACAAGACGCAGGTTAGAGCATTTTTGGGTTTGTGCTCCTATTACCGGCGATTTGTGAAGAACTTTGCAGATATAGCCAAACCTCTGCATAAGCTAACCGAGGAGAAGCGACATTTCTGCTGGGATGAAAGTTGCGATATCGCATTCCAGGAGCTCAAGGACCGTCTGTGGAAAATACCTATTTTGGGATACCCTGATGCAAGCAAAGAATTTATAGTTGCACGACAGAAGTGATATAGGACTTGGCGGTGTGTTGTCTCAACGGAATGGTGACCAAGAGGTCGTGATAGCGTACTTCAGCAAGTCGTTGTCAAAACCGGAAAGGAACTATTGTGTCACAAGACGCGAATTGCTAGCTGTGGTAAAGTACTGACCATGCTGCACTAAAATGGCTATTGCAGTTTAAAAATCCAGAAGGACAAGTTGCGAGGTGGATTGAACTGCTGCAGGAATACGACTTTGAGATCGAACATCGCAGCGGGAAATCTCATGGCAACGCAGATGCATTGTCAAGAAGACCTTGTCCTGAAGATTGCAAACATTGTACTAGGCAAGAGAGTAAGGAAGTGGTATCCGTGAGGATGCTCAGGGCAGACCACCTCAGCAACGAGTGGAAGGACAGCTTTCAACGTGCACAGCAGGAAGATCCGGACATCAAGCCGATCCTGGAATGGATGAAGGCCAGTGCTCCCAAGCCCAAGTGGAGCGACGTCTCAGCGATGAGTTCGACCACTAAAAGCTATTGGGCCCAGTGGGACAGCTTGCTGCTTCAGGATGGAGTTCATGTTCGGGGAGACAGCTGTCATTTACAAATGGTTGTCCCTAAAGCTAAAGTACCGGATGTTCTACAGCTGTACCATAATGGTTATTCAGGAGGCCATCTGGGAGTTAAACGAACTCTACTGAAGATCCGAGAACGGTTTTACTGGGTCCACTGTCGAAACGATATCGAGGACTGGTGTCAAATGTACAAGTTGTGCGGCTGTAAAGGGACCTCAGACTCGTAGTAGAGGTGCATTGAAGTTGTACAATGTTGGTGCACCATGCAGACTGCAGACCTGATCACCGGGATTCCACCTGATGCTCCACGTAGTATAACCGATTATGCAAATGACTTGCGGAACAAAATGAATGACGTTTATGAGCACGTCAGACAATCCGGCCAGCAAATGTCTGAAAAGATGAAAACCCGGTACGACCGCAAAATGAACAACAAAGGGTTCGACGAAGGTTCACTAGTGTGGCCGCATAATCCCGCCCGCAGCAAAGGGAAATCTCCTAAGCTTCAAGCTAAATGGGACGGCCCGTACCGGATTGTGACCAGGATCAACGATGTAACCTACCGGATACAGAAAGGCGCAAGAGGGACTCCTAAGATCGTCCATGTGGATCGCCTGGCGCGTTATTATGGGGCCGATAATGCTCGGGACGAGCATGTCTTAGGAGGGGGCGGTGTTACGCGCTCAAGTCGACGGCACTAGCGCCATCTAGTCTCGAACCGAAGAACTAAACTTCTTGAAGTTGAAACACGAACTATCGGTACCTTGCGCGTGTTTACTTGAATATTCTGGATATTTCGCTGCTAATTTATATAAATAGGCGCTGCAAGATGCGATCGGGGAGTATTGGATTTGGTGAGACAAGCGAAGCTTCGGAGCGAAATAAAGTGAACCAGTGTGCTTAATTATTAGTGTTTTTAACTTTAATTTGTGTAAAGGAAATTAAAGTGTTAATTTAGGTAATTTTATCGGCGATTTTTATTGTCACGAACCTCAAGCTCGTAACATTATTATATAACGCGTTACCTATGAATTTAAAAGAAAAAGAAGGAGCCTGTTTCAAAAAAATTAACGAAACGGTTATTTGAAAATTGTTTCTATAGCCTAAAAATATTTAAAATGGAAAAATTAGTTTAATACTTAAAGATAGTTTTTGTTTTAAATATTTGCACGTCTGCGAGCAGACTAAACACATGTACATTATAGATTTTTAACTGAAGACTGTCAACTGTGTTTTATGCAAATAAAGACTTTGTATTTGTAACAATTTAGTTTTTAATATCGCCAAACCATCTCTATTCATTGACTTGGTCAAGCTTTATCATCTTATAGTCAACAAACAATGTAAAATTTTATGAAATACCGCCATTTCAGTTTCAATAATTGACTAATTTATGATATTATAAATTTTAAGATACGACCATAGAGATACATATAAAATATTTTTATTTAAACTATAAGGATAATAATAGTTTTGTAATAATTGAAATTTTTATCAGTTTATTTGTAGGTAAAAACTAATACCTACTAAAACTAAGAAACATCGTTAAATTTATGATTTTCGATAGATGTCACTATTATCTTTTTTAGAAGTAATTTGTTACTATAAAATTTATTATTATCTACCAAAATGAAATAGTAAAAACTAAAAAATGCACATTAGAATTTTCAAATAAACAATGAATTTAATTAAATAACTATATAAATGTTATATTATCTAATTTGTTAGTGGAGGCAAAATGTCATTACTTTTTATATTTTACGTTAGATGGCACTGTATTGAAAAGGTTAATACAACAATAATATCGTTGATTGTCAACGTAGTTCAATTTATTACACAACGGTTAAAACAGATTTTGGGCTTTACTTATAAATATTTTATTTATTTTTTATAAAACACATCAATCGTATAAAATAGAAATTAACATCTAAAGGAAGGAAAATACTTAACCTTCATTTTTTGAAGTTCCGTAATCGGATAAAAAATAGCCTATAAGTAGCCCGGGTCCCTGAAACTGACTGAAAAAACTGAAAGCTGTTCAGTAGTTTTTGCGTGAATCTTTAATACACAGACAGACAAAAATTCTAAAAACCACCAATATGGCTTCAGTACCCTTTGTTTAGTCCACTGGACTCCAGAAAATATTAGAATTACAGACACGATCTTTCTACAGATTTATTATGTGTATAGATTACAGCGACGAGCTTTCTACAGATTTATTATACGTACAGATTATTTTTTTATAATCCTAATTTAATACTAAGATATAAAATTTTGTAAAACAACGTTGAATTTTTGGGGATATTATATCACCATCCCATAGTGTTCAAGCTTTTTTGAAGCCTCACAAGTGATAGGTATAACCATTCCGGTGATGATTATTAAAGGTGGGATATTTATTTATTTATGTATCATCATTTATTTATATGAGCCGGTATTGCGAGGCGCTGCTTATTCAACGCTTCGCGGCCAGAAACAGGTCGGTAGCGGAGCTATACACCGGAGGCTCCGCTGGTGTCAGGGAGGCTAGTGATTATCAGGTACTTGTTTTTCCTGGCCCATTGGTCTCCACGCGTCGGCCTCGAAGAGGTCCGTTTTACGGTCACAGAGGAATTATGCATTACCTGAGACTTATAGGACACTCTCGAAGCAGAACCGGGGCTACCGACACTGGTGGGGCCGTGAATGTGTGCGATAGCGTATATGCGGTGAAGGTGGAAAACCATGAGATTTTAGTCTGTGCCAGCCCGTCATAATCCGCAAACATAGTCATATTAAAAGAAGAAAAAAGACGCTATAGTAGAGAACATTAAACTTATAATTTTTTTTCGATTACCTGTCCTCTAACCCTATCATGTGACCGATGACTCTCCAGAAGTGATTGTACGCTTCCCAGTCGCCCTCTTGCATTTGCCTGACACCGAATTTGTCAGGCTTGAGTAGTGAGAAGCCGATGAAGCCGAACTGTGTCAACGCCAGGTCTCTTTGTGACACGGTTCCAATGCCTTTCATTTTAGAAGCGAGGCCCGCGCGTACGTGACGAATACGAACTGCGTGTAAGGATCGCCACGATCTGTAGAAAATAATTGAATATTACGCTTAATTACTTTTGTGTATGAGTAAAATTTATGATTAAATATTTTTAAGGATATACATTTAATTTAAAAATTTAATTAAAACACTGCTACATATTAACAAAATACTATTTGCAAAATACAAAGTCCACCTGGTAATAAGTTGATACTATGACCCATAGACAATTACTTTTATCTGATATAGCTGACATCTCCTCGAATAAGTATCAAAAATCCAGATGCGTTGACACTACCGAGGGTTTAACCAAATTTATTTTCTACGAGAGAATTTCTTCTAAACCCAATTCCATTGCACACAATATCCTTTTGAAAATTAGCGAAATTGCCTCCAGGTTCAATCGGATCCGGCATCCAACTTGTGTGAAGGGAGGCCTGAGATACTATTACTCTTACTAATAATTGTTATTTGTTATTTGTTTACGGTTATTTGTTAACTTTTCACATTTAAGCCACTGAACCGAACTTTTTAATGTTTTATTAAAGTTAATTTTTAAAAATTAACTTTAATAAAATTAAAATAAACTGTTTCTGTTTTTGTTTCTTAATGCTGTAACCCATTACACAGCCAGTACGCCACGCAGCCGTCATGCGTCATTAATTGTATAAAATATTATATTGCTGATTATTTTTAAAGCTTAAACGACTTCCTATAAGTATTCTAGTTATCCACTCATATATTGGATAATAAAGACTTCACTGAATAATAAATTGAAAAAATTAAAAACCTCCGAAACAGAGAAAGCTGATGATGAAAGTTTTTTTTATTAATTTTTAATTCCAAGTGAACAAAACGCGATTGCAGCTAGTTGTTTGATGATCACTGTTCGTCTTGTACTGTCTTTTCATTAGCTCGTAAAGGCCCACCGCTGGACATGCCTATCCCACTAGAAAGAGAATTTTCTTTAATGTCATGCTTGGCAGCCAGACTGACGACCGCAGTGTCAGACATCTCGTACATTTAAGCTTAACGCTGCTCGACGCTGCTTTCTATCGTCAGTCTGGGTATTTTAAGCCTGGTGTTGACTAGATGGTCAGACTATTCTAGCAATACGGCTTTCTCGTGGACATCGCATACCCATACCGTTTGTGTGCGGCGTCGTAGCATATAGCGATGCGTCGTTTACCTTTCGGATTGGGATGAGTGTGTTTGGTAGCACTTTTAAGTGTAACAAGCATACTCAACTTCAGGTCTTATTGTATTAGCGCTATGATACGTGGAGTTTGGTTCACTAGCGTCTTAGTATCGTGGTACTATGAAACATTGGTGTTATTTTTTAGTTAACAACAATACTAATTTTGTTACCAAAGTCGATAGGGATCATGTGGGTGTGTTGTGAGGGAGCACCATCCGTATGATAGTTGCATTGATGTTTGCTGCTACTTGCGGTATTGCGTCTTGTGATAGATCTGCGGGTGTGCTGCGCCTGATTCGACGCATTCTTGAGGTTCTTGTCGATGGAGGTATGCGGGTGGTGATGTCTGCTGGGATGTATGGGGGGCCTTGGGATGGTGTAAGCCCGACGATAGTCGTACTGATGCATGTGGCGTTCAGCAGCATTGCGTCTCTGCGATGGTTGTTTGGTGGGACGCTATTCTCAATGGCGCTCTCTGCGTCTTGGTTTGACTCACACCTAAGTAGCTTTGACCAAATCGGGTCCTTAGATATTTGGATATAGAGAAGGCCTTCGATTTGTTTCGGCACAAATCGATTCTCTCGAAGCTTCCTTCCTATGGGCTTCTCGAGAAATTGTGCAATTGAAGCAGTCAGATTGGAGCGTTGAGGTCGTAGTAGACGGTGCTTGCTCCGATTGTAAGCCTATTAACGCTGGTGTTCCACAAGGCTGCGTGGTATCGCCAACGCTGTTTCTTCTGCATATCAATGATATACAGCAAATTCAATTTTTGAATTCATTCACTGCTATGTAGACGACAGCACTGGTGATTCTTTATACACCGTCCGTACCAATATGTCTCGGGAAAACGTCGCCGAATACCGGAACAGACTTTGTCTGAAGTTGAGAGAGACATTATTGAACAAAGTATCGGATTGGGGGCGACTAAATCTAGTCTAGCTAGAATCAGAAACTTGCCGTTACCATTAAGTTCTCTGCTGAACATGACACATATAGACTGCCTCATAATAATCATACCGGACATTTGCTATAATTATCACGCTTGGCAAGCGGGTTGGCAATCGAAGTTTTTAACCGACTTCAAAAAGGAGGACGTATTCAATTAGACTGTACGTTTTTATGCGTGTTATCTCAGAACTTTTTTCTGGGTGAACCGATTTTGATAATTATTTTTATTAGAAAGCTGGAGCTTCTCTTTTGGTTCTGTATAAATTTGATCAAGATCTGACCAGTAGTTTTTGAGTTATAGTTAAATAATGCGTATTTAATTGATTTCGAATACATTGATTCGGTCGTATTGAAGTCTGTTGTACAAACTTTTTAATTTTATCACTTTTTATGTTTAATGAAACCCACTGCATGATATGGGGTAGTGGATATTCTGCCACTTCACGGTTTGTCAGAACAATTAAAAATACCAAGTGTTCGGTAGAGAAAACACCATAAGGAAATTTCTGACATGATATTTGGGTGTCCGCTTATATGTACATACCGGAGCAGCAAGGTCAGTAAGGTGATAAACAACATAGTTTAGAAACACTATCATAAAAAGTGAAGTATAAAAAAGTGGCTCTCACTTGAATAAGATCAAGTTTGTGCCGAAAATTAAAATAATACGTATCTATGTATGTAATTACTCTAAGATAAAAATCCTATAAAATAAAATAGATTACTTTCTTCCCCTTTTTAAATATCTTATTCGTTGTGACGCTTACCACCATAGAGTTATTGTAATCACTACGTTTTACTACTAGCGAAAAGTTTATAAAAACGTAACTTAAAGGCAATATTCAATTATGTCGTCAATATTTTTATTACAGTTAATTACGCCAAATTCTTTCCTAATTGATATTAAAATCATTACCTTTGCAATTTGGCGTCTATGTACTTTAAGGCGCTCTTATACTGACGCTTTAGGTATTTAGCGCATCTCCAGCGCGCGCGTAATAAACAACGCAAACACCCCAAAAAAATGAACTCACTTGATCCCGGCACCGTGCTACTACAGATCACAGTACAAAATAGTTCGCAGTAGGACCACTTCTTATGATTTGAACTGTTTTTAGTTTGTATTGAGTAGTTACAAATTACTTCTTTAGTTAATATTTTGTATGATGTTGTATTAAATTTATACGTATATTGGTTTTTTTACCGATTTCGATTATTTCAGAAAAAAACTTCGTATAAAATGTTAAATTAAATTTCTTTTTAATAATTTTATGTAAGTTTTACAAATGCGTAAGTATCCAAAGTTAAATAATTACAATAATGCTCTAAAACTACTCTTAACCAATCAATCAACTATGAAACAATTTCTAAAACTCTTCCATACTGAGTTGGTGAATCCTTTCAAAATTTTTGTCAGGCTCGTTAGACGTTTGATGGTCAGTCCTGAATAAATCAGGTCTGTTATTTTCTTTGTCTGGTACATCAATTACAGACATGGAGTCACATTCCAGTTTTAGATCTCGGATCGCCATCCCACGTGCATATCTGCTGTTAACAATTTTTGTGAGTAAGCAATTTTTATAAAAAAAAGTACTAACTTTGGCTCCATAGTTTTCCGAAAATCATCATCTTTTTCAATATATTTTGTGAAAATTGTTTCATTGTCACCTGACCAAATTCCTAATAAACAAACTTTCCTACCCGTAACAAGCAGCTGGCCCTGAATTTGGTAGTGCTAGTTACTAGGTAGTCTTCTTGTTTACGGTCACTGTGCCTGATTTTTTTGTCGTATTTGAGAATTTGAATTTTGTTTTCCTTAATTGAATTTTCAAGACCTTTTTTAGAAGCTGTAATGGGACACTTTATCTCGACTAGCATATCATCTCCTACCAGTCCGTCCGGAGTTGCACCGATACGTGGATGAATTTGATCGATAAATAATCCAAACAATTAATTATGACAAGCTTTTTTATTGTAAATCTTCTAAGAGGTAATTAATATCAATGAATCGCCGTCCTAGAACATGCTGAAATTCTTCATTGCTTTTTTAGGCTCAATAGCGTATGAACCGTTATTGTCTTCAGTTGGCCTGACAAATAAATTCAGGGAAAAATAGATAAATTAAAATTGTAGATGAACCCCCTTGGGTTCATCTACCCGTGAAACTGAACAACTTTCCTAAAGAAACCCATATCGAAATCAGAAAAAAAAATCGATCTCCCAAACAAAATATGTTACTTGACTGACAATTTGTATAGCAGAACGATTTTTTTTTTAAATTTCGATATTTCTTCTTTATTTTTAAATAGCTACTTACACATAATTAGTTATATTATGTACATTGGAATTCAGTGTAGTTGTGCTACTGCTGGGCAAATTACTCTGTTGTCTGAAAAATACATTGTCCAATTATTAAAACAGCACTTGTCAGCAAGTAATGAGAGAAACTATAAGGCCTATAAAGCCTATTAAACTATAAAGCTGGCTGACAGTGGTGCGAACAATGGATTTCCATTGTCCGCGCCACTGTCACTAATCACGCCAATATTATAAATGGGAGAGTTTGGATGTTTGTTTGTTACCTAATATCCTTCAAAACCGCTGCACCGAATTGGATGTTCACAGATAGTATATGACCAGGATTAACTAATAGGTACTTTTAATAAATTTTATAATATTAACTAATTAGGTACTTTTTACCGGTGTTTATAAAATACATGTGCAGGATGTGGCGAAGATCAATTATTTTATATACCTAATGTATAATATGTAGATGAGTAAAATAATAATTTGTATTTAAATGTCATTTTTCACTAACACACTTTTCATTGAGGTTTTTTTTGTGATCTAAATATGCCTTTGGTCCGTGGTGCTTTTGCACCGAAAACAAAAAAAGGTCACAATTGCTACATTCAGTGGTCTTACTGTTATACTTATACTGTGACATATAAAGTAAAAATAAAACTATTGTTTTTACGTGAAGTTGCATTTCTTAATTTATTTGTTTTTATTAAAAAGTGAAAATAAATCGACAGGTATTCATTCATACTAACATTAATGTTTTTTTATATAAAACTTTAATCTTAAGCTTACTCGCGATCAATATTTTCGAGATCGGAACGGCGGTGCGCGCGAAAATTAGACACAGGACCTGCTTCGGCAAGGCCCGGCGGGCGACTAGCGTGAGCAGATCTTGCATTTGATTATATATTATTTAGATTTATAAAAAGTAAATAACAATTTTAAAAAACGAACCGCAGAATTGTTTGTTAAAAATATGCTTGGATATTGTAGTTTAATTTTTATAGTAATTTACGTGGTATTTCGAAAATGAAACAAAATAATAAAACTCAAAAGACTAAAGTTTAGATAAAATTTCTATCGAAAATTTTTTGAAATATAATGTTTTCAACCGCAGATTCGTAAACCTCATATCCTTAAATTTGTTATGTATTTTTTTTGGGTCTTGGAAACTTTATTAGAGTCCATGAAATTGTTTTGAATATCAGTAATTTACTAATAACCGGGCCTTAATATTAAAATGAAGCTTACAAAAATTAATATTTTTGTTGATTTACTGTAGTATTTCAACTATAATTTTATTTTTACCTACAAATGAGCCTAAAAAGGGAGAAATATTTTTGGCTAGTGTGTACTCTAAATTCCGAATCTTGCCGTTCGGAATTTGTTTAACGATATCTTAATCGATTTGCGAGTGTAGCAGGTAGAATATGACGTCAGCAGAAAATTTATATGGCAGACTTTGCAACAAAAAATAATAATAAGCGAAAGTATCGTGTATGGTTTACTAAGAAAAGAATAAATGAGTAAATTTCTGTAGACACTCACCGCAGACGGATATTTGTTTCTTTATGATAATTTACTTGCGTCTACGCTATGATGTGTATAGGCGACGTAAGACAATCCACTACTCTGTATCATCTCGGGGGTATATTATCTACAACTACCACAAACATAACCGCTCAGTGACTCTGAAATATAATAACTGTATTCATAGTCACTTAACGGTTTGACACTTTTAATTATACTAAATCCTGTATTTAATAAACAATATATATATATATATATATATATATATATATATATATATATATATATATATATATAAGAAAGCATCAACAACAACTGCGGTCAGCAACAGCATCAACCCGCCTGCCAAGCGTGCCAACTATTGCAAATTTGTCTCTATGGTGCAATCTATAGGTGGATTCCTGATGATAGGTGGTAATCTTTTATGTTAAATCAAGTCGGTAATACGTCCTAGAGCTATATTATGGTTATGGCGCGAAAAGGGCGGTTCAACCGGAGTAGGATCACGCTTTCATTGAATACCAGCGTAAAATAGCAGCTTAATGCTGCTGTGTTTCGTATGGTGAGTGTAGAGAACCGGAGAACTTTTTAACCGGAAATGAGGCATTCTACCTTAGCCCTTAGAGTTCGCATAACGCGTCTGCATTTGGATTTTTATTTGAGGAAAAATGTAGATGTTTACTTGCTCATTTGTCACCCTTATTCGACATAAAGAAATAGGAAGTATGTATTTGTATACAACTCACATACTGCCAGGCTTTAGTTCATTCTCGAACCAAGATACAGTGTGCAGTAGCGTTGACAGGTATCTCTTGTAGGCTGTGTACACTGAGCTGGAACGCCTCGAGCTCACCAGCACCCTTAATATCGAAGGCACTGCGAACACCGCTATCAAACCCAGCAACATTGAACCTGTCAATCCAAAACTGTTGTCCCAGTAGAAGCGACGTGCTCTGTAAAACAAACATATACTTAAAGATATCATTGTAATTATTAAAAATTTATCTATAAATAAAATTGCCATGGTAGCTTAGGGGCTAAGTGCTTGCTGTGAATTTCACAGTACGTGAGCAACCCGGGTTCGATTCTCGCCAGCGGTAATGAAATTGTTTATTGTAATTTAAGTGCTGATTTACCACGTGCTCAGCGGTGAAGGAAATATCGTGAGGAAATCTAAATGTCTGAGATAAAAAAAAAATTCAAAGGTATGTATGTGAAATTGACCAACACGCTTTGGGCAGCGTGGTGGACATTTTCTTGTTCTAAGACTCTCTTAGAAATTAAATAAGACCTACTGTGCCCAGCAGTAGGACGTATAATATATGCTGTAACTTTAACTTAAATAAAATGTATCTGTAGATTTTTGTAACAGATCGGATGTGGGCTTAGCAACAATGATGTTAAATCGGAATACACGTGGAATTTTTTTATAGGATATAAACGAGCACACAGTCCACCTGATGGTAAGTGGTTGCTGTGGCCCATAGACATCTACATTTATCTTCGATTATGAATTAAAATGCAGATGCGTTGTCACCCGTGAGGACTAAGATGGAAAGTAAAAAGAGTCTCCGGTTCTCTACACTCACCATACGAACCACATCAACATTAAGCTACTATTTTACGCTGGTATTTTGTGAGAGCGTAGTCCTTCTCCAGTTGAGCCGACCCATTCGTACCACAACTATACTACTAATAAATTGCAGTATGGCTCTACGAAGTATAAAAATGTACGCCATATTCCATCTTATATATTCTTAATTAATGGCATAATATGAGGAATTGCTTAGTCTGCCACCAGTAGCCAATTAATAAAGAATATCCTGCCGCTGGCGGTGTCACAAGTTGTTAGCTACAGTATAAATAATAAAGAATATCCTGCCACTAGCGGTGGCAAAAGTAATTGACTACATTATGTATAAAAAGGAATATCCTACCGCTAGTGGTGCAGCAAGTTGTTAGCTACACTATAATTAATAAAGAATATCCTGACGCTAGCGATGCTGCAAGTTATTAGCTACACTATGAATAAAAAGAAATATCCTACCGCTAGTGGTGGCAAAAGTTATTGACTACAATATGAATAATAAAAAATATCCTGCCGCTAGCGGTGGCAAAAGTTATTGAATACATAACAAATAATAAAGAATATCCTGCCGCTAGCGGTGGCTAAAGTTATTAACTACATAACAAATAATAAAGAATATCCTGCCGCTAGCGGTGGTAAAAGTTATTGAATACATAACAAATAATAAAGAATATCCTGCCGCTAGCGGTGGCAATAGTAATTGAATACATAACAAATAATAAAGAATATCTTGCTTCTAGCAGTGGCAAAAGTTATTGACTACGTAACAAATATTAAGTAATATACATAAGTTATTAGCAACACTATGAATAAAGTTGGTCATTTAAGAAGGAATCTGAGTTCAAGCAAACCTGTTTGACCTTGTATTTTGTCATGGTCACGATTTACTAAGAGTAGTGCGTCGGTAAGCAGTATTAGCTACTATTAAGCCTATTATTCTTCGCTTTACTATATAAATCTAGAAAAACTTAAATGGATACGGATAAATGTGCATTGAAGCGTATTCACAGTGAAATCGCAAGAAATATTTTTGTCTTTACTAATAACCAGTTTAATATTATATGTATTTATTCTTTTATAACAAAACACAGATAACCAGGTGGTAGGGCATATTTTGCACCTAGAGTCCGTCTGGTTCGGTATCGCTCTTCGACCTGCTGTTGTCGAAGGCGCAGAATAAATAATAGTACTACGTATTGAAGGGCATTTCATCTTAGTACTCAGAGATGATAACGTATGAAGTTGGCTGTAAGTATTCATGGCGTGCAGTAGCCACTTAGTATCAAGTGGACTAAAGGTTCGTTTGTCATTTCCAATTTTATAAAAAAAAATACAGATAAAAGTATTTGGAATAAAGGTTCCTCAATAATATTAAACTTATTATCCCATCACGTACGCTAAAAATGTCGCGCAAAATACGCTAGATAGCCGTTTTATAATTAGTAAAAAATAGACTGACAAAATCGGTACAACAAATAAAATTCTATTACGTTTTAAACCACTGATTTATGTATATTATTTTTATTCGAGAATAAGGCAGTGAATCAAAACTTGTTTTTATAAAAAGTTTAGCACGACCTAAACAAAAAAAGAGTCGTAGGCCTGATGCCTTGACAGAAGCGGTTTAAAATATGCTAGTACGCCAGATGTGTAAATTTAAATATTATAAGGTGTTAAATGTTACAATATTTTTGCTGCTTGTGTTTGAGTTTCAATGTTTTTGCTGTTTGCTGGTTCATGATTCAGGTGCTTGAAATTTAATAAGTATAAAAGTAATGATTTATTATGTTTACGCGAACACTACACATTTAAATAAAACTAGTTTTTACGGACTTTATCGCGTATTCTAACTTATTTTATGTTCCCAACGTTTCTAGCACTTTACAGCACCCATGGTCACGGGGAGGACTGAGGTGTTTGACGTTCCAATCTCATAGTTAACCACGACTACCTCCAGATTAAAATTATTAATTTTTGTTCCGATCTACGCAGTATGAACTTATAGTATCTTGAAGTCTTGCAGTTGTATGCTTAGGTTGGGTTTTAATTTTATTAACTATAGGATCCCAAGCAGAGAGCACGAGTGATCTATGACAATAGGCACCTGGCCGCTGAGCTCCAACACGTCAAGTAAATTTTGCATGACAACAAGCTTCGGGTTCAAATAGCAGCTTAACCCCGCTGCGTTTCGTTTAGTGAGTGTAGACTCTACACTTTAGAGAACCGGAGACCCTTTTTACTGGAAACGAGGTATTCCACCTTAGTCGTTATCGAGGATAGATGTAGATGTCTATGGGTCACAGCAACCACTTACCATCAGGTAGACTGCGTGCTCGTTTGCCACCCCTATATTATAAAAAAATGTTCATTTAGTTAATTGATAGAATCAGGCATTACTTTGTGGAAATCCATTATAATAAAGGTATTAATAGTTACTTTGAAACCATCCGCTCAATTAAATAAAATGATGTGTCTTACCTAGTTTGAAATCAGACTTAGTGTGAAGTGACTTAGCGGTCAGCCACCGTAGAGTCTACATCACCTGAAGATGCCTCGTGTAGGGGCGAAGCACGTGTCGTATTATTGTCGATGGTGTGTCTTTCCTAGAATAATGGTGTTGGGAGTAGTGGTGTTGGGAGTAGTGGTGTTGGGAGTAGTGGTGTTGGGAGTAGTGGTGCTGGGGTTAGTGATGACGGGATTAGTTACGCAATTGAGAGAGGGCGGAAGGTGCTCTTCAAACTAGGTAAGACACATCATTTTATTTAATTGAGCGGATGGTTGCAAAGTAACTATTAATATCTTTATGTTAATTTTGTTTTTTGGCACCTACATATCACGTTATTTTTCACACGTACCGGGTTGACTGGGAGAGAATGCCAAAAGGAATTAAGTCCGCCTTTTATCCTTTTATTAAGGTGTAATAAAGTGTAAATAAATAAATAAATAAACAAGGGCCTCCCCTAAAGAATGCCACAAAGCATGGCTCTGAGCCACCTGCATCCATCGATTTCCTACATGTTTTTACATGTTTTACCAGGTCGTCACTCCATCTAGTGGGGAGCCGCCCCACATTTCACCTACCGGTATGAGGCTACCGAGTCTTTTTAGTGGCGGGTGAGAATATCCACTACGAGAGAGACAAAAAGACGGTTCCAAGTTCTCGCGGCCCCGCGTGATACGTACCTTTAATATTTTATTTTTTGAAAAACGTTCCCTCACTAGGTTTTGCTCCTGTATTAAGGCAGTTTACAGACTAAATTCGACAAGGACAAACATCCAGACCCGGTACAGTTTGTAGGCCATACAAACACTTGTTCTGTGTTGGATTCAAGTCCGCGGCTCGAGGCGCCGCAACTCAATCCTGAGACACTGCGCCATGGAGCCGTCAACATCAAAAGATATTTGAAGCAATTAAAACATTTGGCATTTCAACTAATTTTATTTTAACTTTCTTCTGTTGTGTAACTTGGTCCGGTGATTTTACGCTTGAGTTTGGAGTTAATTACTAGCCGACTTTAAAAAAAAAGGAGGAGGTCTCAATTCTACCGTTCTTTTTATTCATAGTATTTGTATGCTCCGCGTTATCTTCGTCAATTGCGAAACGATTATGATTCTTTTTTTAATAAAACTTTTTTAACTTTCGTATACATTTGGAAAATAAGGGGATGAAGTCTTTAATTTATCTATTAAGAAAACATTCTTAGTTGTTTACTTGAGCTTGTGGTATTATTGACTAAGTGATATCACAAGTCACTTAAAAGGGCCAGAAAATTAAACTTTCAATAAAGAAATAAGGCTGAACAAACAGAAAGAAAAAAATATTTTAATTAACTTCTGAAGTTGGAGCTTCAATTCTTCAATTGGACACGTCGTCATTATGACATCCACGGGAATATATTGGATAGTGGATCCTGTAATTCGCTTTGCTGTCCCATATCATCTCGTGGCAAATTTATAATGGTAGGTACCTAAACCCGACCACGAGGCCTATTAGTCAAACCCATAGAATACTATAATACATATATAATAGAACGTGGGAGTGGGCGGAGCCAGTGTAACCACTAAAATGTCGTTAACATGTCAATTCACACCTATAAATGTCAACACAATCGAGCAAATCCGATTTTCGTGTCAAGCGAAGCTGCATGCAAATTATTTAAAAAATGGCAAATTGTGTAATAATTACGTGTCGAAAGAACAGCGGGAAATGGAATTTAAATAAAGGAGACATATCCTATAACCAGTAAGTCGCAACTATTTATATTTTGTGAATATTAGAAACAAAAATAAAGAAATATTTGTGTCAAATCTGACATCAGACAGATTTGACTTTGTGTTGACACACAGCGAATCGGGTTTTTAGTAATGATAATTGATAATACGACGTAATTGCTTGTTTGCGTGCTCCCGGCGACGCCGATTCTCCTACAAAATACTATTGACAATATGACTCCCATTCTATTGTGTATTATAGTATTCTATAGTCAAACCCAACCAGTTCTGACGCTTGTAAAAATATGTAAATATATCGTACCTATGTGTCTCTTTGTAATTGCGTTTTCCCGCGTGTCCTTGACTCTGGGTTCACATCTACTTTCGATCATAATGCGTATTAAACGTTACATTGGATTATCGGATACTATTTTAGGTCAATTGAGTAGGTATGTCTATGGAGCGCAAATTTACTTAAATACGCCATGCACAGTTGAGAACCGCCAGATGAAAGGAAGAACATCACTTATTATCAAATATAAGAAGTGATCAAAATTGTTTAATATAACTAATAATTCTATTATATTATGTATAATATAGTTGAATATGTCTGCTATCAGCATCATCACAGCCCTGAACCACTGCCACTGCTGAACAAAACACAAAACACAGTCCTGATGGCTCAGGACCTGCATCCATCGACAGCTGAGTCACAACCTTTCTTCCCCATCGGTTATCGGTTCTTAGAGCTATATCATATCGCTAACCCATTGCCACTTTAGCTTACTAATCTGTTGGGTCTCGTATGTTAGTCTGGTTCTACTGCGGATATCCCCATTTGTAAGTAAATTACGCAGGGAATTACGATAGCTCACTATGTGACCTTGAGCTTCCACATACGGCTAGCAGTGAAGGATCACGTCTCAAGTCTAACACGCTGGCAACACGCACTGGTTGTATATTCTTGTTTTCAAATTTTGAGGTATAGGTACCTGATGAGAAGATGTGTCAGCCAACTTGTATCCGTTGATTGACCTCTCGATCAAAGTCGGCTTACTTAGTCGGACTGTTTGCCCTAGGTAAACATGCTAGTCGACAACTTTGAGCGTAGTGCCCCCAACTATTAACGGCGCATATATGACATGGACGTTAGACATGACCTTTGTTTTGTTTATTTTCGTACATACTAAAATCTATTTGTTGGGAGATAGATACTATTGAGCGTAGCCGAACTCCTCTAGCGATTCTGACATAAGCACTAACTATATTGTTGGCAAATCGAAGCAAAGTGATGTTCTCGCCATAATGTTAATACCAAATCCTCTCCAGTCTAGCAGCTTGAAAACGTCTTCCAATGCAGTGATGAAGAGTTGCGTGGATATAATATCACCTTTTCTCATACCTCTCTGTAGTTGGATAAGTTTTGTACACTGGTTATGTACTCGGATAGTCATTGTAGCCCTAATGTATAAACTGTCTGCTATAACCGCATATAAAGCATATTCACTGCCGTTTTATTTGAACTGGCGATTGTTTGCTTAGGGTTGCCAAATTAAAAAAAGTTAAAATATTGAAATATGATCAATCAGTTTTTCCATAGATACGTATCACTGAGCTCATCAGATTTCATAGGAAAATGCTCTATAGTGTTCTCTAATCCTTATAAATAACTAGCTGATACCTTATTAGTATGATATTTTATTGCGGTACCTACATCTAAAATAACAAGAATTTTTTTTTGGTTAGTCTATCGTAAAATCCGTTCTTAGTGAGCGTCTACATTGCGAAATGAGGGACTACACTAAATTTCAAATCAATAGGGTGTTTAATGTTAGAGATCTCGTGATGATACAATCAGTCACTGGTATTTCGCTTATACGAGTATAGATATAGATTCAATCTTAAGGGTGAAGCAGACCGAATGCGAGTACCTTAGTATTGCGATAACCGTTTAAATATATAAAACTCTATGAAAGACATCATACCGCCTGCGTTCACACGCCTTGTAAATCCAAGGTGCTATTATCTATTTAGCGACCAAAGGCCCACACATCATGCGCACTCATATGGTGTGCTTCGACCATTTCAACTTTACTAAGTATAACTTACTGGTTGAACTTGATCTCACTGTACCATTCAGGTAATTCCATTTGTAGATCTTCAGGTTTTTTTGAATCTGAGGGCTGGTCGCTTGCCTTTTCTGTAAGCAAGCCGTCAATGAATTCATCCACTGAAAAGATAAATGTTTTTTTTTCATTGTAATCAAACTAAGTACATATTATTATAACGTGGTAGAACCACGCTGCAGCTATATAGCTGCAGCACGACTGGGTCAGCTCGACCGGGGTAGGACCACGCTCTCACAGAATACCAGCATGAAACAGCGAATATAATGCTGCTGTGTTTCATTTGGTGACATTGTGGATAACCGGAGATCGCTTTTACTGGTAACGAGGCATTCCATCTTAGTCCTTAGTGATGACAACGCATCTGTGTTTTAATTCTTAATCGATGATACTGTTGAGGCATAGCATCCACTTACCATCAGATCGAGTATGTACTCGATTGTCAACCTTATTCTATAAAAAAAGCTTAATAAAACAACAATAAATTAATATATTTATTACTATTTCATGAAATATCAATTTAACTGGTGGTAGAGCCACGCTGCAGCTATATGATGGTGGTAGCACGAATGGGTCGGCTCGACGGGGGTAGGACCACACTCACACAGAATATCAGCGTAAAGCGATTTGTTGGAAACGAGGCATTCCGATCGAGATGTTAATGGGCCGCAGCATCCAACCCACTTACCATCAGGTGGACTGTATGCTCGTTTATCACCTTTATTCTATAAAAAATGTAATAGTTCATTCAAGAAACTGAAAATCACTCTGAATATGGAAGTATAGCAAAATATTTTTTATTGTTTATGCATTACCGAATCTAGGAATATAACGTTTTTTTGGAGTTTGCTTGCTACAAATTTGTGTACCTAGCAATTTATGAACAACTATGTACCTAGCGGGAAAGTTAAAATATAAATTTTAAACAAAATAAATTTTCATAAAGTATCTTCATCCTAAATTTTGTATCATTTCAGCTATTTTTAATGGAGACAACCCTGCAATCTTGATGCGAGTCGTTTCAATTACGTAATTACGTGTCCTTATGTCGTTCGAACACCAACTTCCGTATTGGTGTAAATGATTTATAACGATTACAGATAATGACTTCTTATATTTACGCGGACACTACACATTAAATGAAACTAATTTTACGTTTTATTTTTAATTGTGACTTTTTAATTCCCGACGATTTGGGTGCTTTTTACTCCGGGTTTAGACTCTCGCCTCGTGCCTCGTCTCGTATCTCACCTCGTACCACGTCTCGTACCTCGCCTCGTACCTCGCGTGTTGTTGCGAGATAACGAGTGCCTGTTTACACTCTTGCGATGCGTTCATTTGCGCTTTGCGTTGAGCCAGCATCGATGGAAGACGTCGAAATAATAGCGGCATTAACTCTTGCCTTATTAAGTATTTATCGATGCTTGACCGTTTTAATAATTTTTCTTCGCAGGTGTTGACGAAAGGTAGCCATAAGCGAATTCTTTTTTACTTTGAGCTCTGCTAGCGGTCTCCACATAACCTCGGAAATTCTTTTCTACGCATCATTTACTTTTAGGGTATTTTTATGCATGATATATTTTAGCTCCCAAATTATTCGCTCAACCTGATAGAGTTCAAAGAACTGCAGCGTTGCTTCTTGCGACCAGTCCATTTTTAATTGAAGTCGAATGTAAACAAGAAAACGACACAAACTGCACCGAAGGGCGCCGTAAATCAACAAAGACGAGAGCGCCAGTGTAAACACCACACTCGCGTCCCTCGCGAGGCCCTTTGATTCGTGCCTAAAAAACCGCCTCCGACGCGAGCGCCGCGAGTAGCGAAGCGAGCTGTGAGGCGAGCCACGAGGTGCTAGCGACTCGCCTCGCTTGTCATAGTTAGCCCGGCTAGCTTCAGTTTCAGAATATTAATTTGTGGTTCGATCTACGCAGAATGAGCTAGCAGTATCTTGAAGTCTAGCAGTGGTGTGCTTGGGTTTGGATTTAGTTTTTTTTTAATTATAGAATCCCAAGCGAATGGCAGGCAGCAACCATCCATCTTCTCTATTGAAATTAGGATGTCTTTATATTTCAATAGCCTTGTGTCGTGAATGATCGTGGTGCAAGGAATCGGTGTTCTTTTGAGAGGATTTGTGTAAAATCTAATGTAACGGCGGGGATGCTCTTGAACATATTCACATACTGCAGACTTCCCGGAGTATCGGTGCTTCACGTCAGCTATATGTTCTTTTACGCGATTTTTTATAGATCTTTTTGTTTGTCCAATGTACGAAAGAACACATTCTCAATCAAGCTTGTACACTCCTGCATCTTGTAGAGGGATATTACACTTGACGGATAGTAAACATTGACGAATCTTCTTCGGCGCTTTGTAAGATCACCGTCGATAATACGACACGTGTTTCAATTCTTTACGAGGCGTCCTCAGGTGAAGTACACTGCGGTGACTGATCGCTAGCGGTGTGTACCGTATTATGGACGGTGGCGTGTATTTCCTCGTGTAGTAGTGTTGAGACCTAGTGGTGCTGGGGTTATTGGTGACGGGGATGGATGGGTGGGGATGGTGGGGGGATGCGGTTAGGACTTTATCTCGGCTTACATACCCTAAGCATCACACAGCTGCCTTCTGTGGCAGTTCCCAATTAGCTGTTACGAAGTGCTGGGTAGATATACCGCCACCGATCAGAAAATGTAAATCAGTTGTCACTTTCAAAATTTTAAAAAATCCGCTAAATAGGCATAAATTGTATGGTTTATATACTCTTGATGCAAACACCGTATATACACACACGCACGCACTTACTCACTAACAATTTATTTTATTTTTCCTGTATGTATACTACCACCTTTTGTTATCTCTCGCTGTCAACGTAGTACTAGTACGTACATGGAATTTTGACGGGTTTGTTCATTTTATTTTTATTTTATATTTATATGTTTAGTTTTTGTTTAGGTACTTGCTATTGTTTGTCATCTATCTCACATTCTTCTTCACTGAAAATCAGCGTTACGAATTGATGTATTATATTTATTATCTAAAATTCGTGACTCAGAGTTGAGTGGAGACCATTTTGGTGCATATTAAGCTTCTATTTTTTTTAAAATATTATTGTTAAGATAAAAATGTTTTTCTCTGTTTTATTTGACGTTTTTTCTTTGTTATGATATATGTGCCAAATAAACTTATTTCTTTTATTTTCAATCGCGGGAGGACGGGAGGCGCTCTTCAAACTAGGTAAGACACATCATATTATTACGCGGAAATAAGCAATTTAATTTTTAAGATCTTTAATATTATTATTTATTCAAATAAGTTAGTTCTATTAATTATAGATAATAATATCAAAAAACATGGTCGGTCAGCTGGTCATCTTCTTGTTCACCTAACACACCGATGGGCGCAGGCGGTCGAGTCAAAGGGGGAAATCATGCAATTGGATCTCAAGTTTTCTCTCAGATCGCATCTCGATTGGAGCATTTTGGTCATAGTTGACAGTGCACGCTCCGACTCTAAGCCTGTGAATGCTGGTGTTGCTATCACCTGCCCTGTACCTTATGCGTATCAACGGTAAGCTACAAACTAATAACATTTATTGTTATGCAGATGACAGCACTAGCGATGCCTTATACACCTTCTGTGCTAATATTTTTCGAACGTCATCGATTGTCGGAATAAACTTGAGCTTAAAGTCGAATCTTTGTTGAACTTTGTCCCAATCGGAATCGGGAACTACTAAATCTAGTTCAATCCAATCCACAGAAGATACAAATTTGCGTGTTGACCGCTAAAAAGAAACCCCTTGTCGTATATTAATTTACACTCCTCTTGTTGCCTCAGCTAGCATCGAAATCCTTGGCGTCAACATCTTATTTATTGAATGGCATTTAGTTTCACGGTCACTAGGAGGGGAAAGTCAAATTGGCCTCTAAAAAGCTTGGTGTACTTTGTAGAGCGGGACAGTATTTCATGCTTGCACACCGCTTGTAACTTTGTAAGGCGCATGTTTGATCTCTCTAAAAGCTGAATCACACTATTGAAGTGACAAAAGTAGTTAAATTTATGAGACGAGACACTGATAATGTTAACGGGGCTTGATTTAATATTATGCCGTGTCATGTGGCAGCTTAAGAAAATCTATAACTTAATTCGTACGATAGGAGTAGTAGGAAGCAACAATGGGAATGCTATATAGACCTCAAAAGGATAATACGGCCATCTATCGCCTCAACCATTTAAGCGAACCCAAGAGAACCTCTTAAGTCAGCCACGGGACAAAATTGAGTGATATATTAAACTATAATATTGAGTATAATAACTTCTTATTATTCGTAAATCACTTGCACATAAAATCATCATAAATAAAGGTTTGTAACTAAAGAACCAAAATACAATAAACTTGATGTGGGTGTATGTAACTTAAACTTATACAAAAATGGCCATGCTGGAAAAAAAGAAGTATAAACATGGATATATAACAACCGAGCAGTATTTTTCCGACTTGTTACCAGCATGTTGCAACTTGAGATCTTTCTCGATATTTACTCATCGGTTGTCAGTACGCGACCGTCTTTATGGTTTTAAACTATCGAACGCTTCCGAGAATTGGTATTATTTAAAAGAAAAACACGCAAATAGATAATATACATTTTTAAAGTTTAAAAAACTGAAAACAAATTAAATATGCCTGAATATACCGAAATGGAAATTTATACTTATAGCACTTTAGATAAGGTTTTCACAAAGTGCTGATTGATAAATTTATACTGTTTTAACTAACAGTAACTAATTAGTCACCAAATTTTCACACACATTTCGTAGTTAAAGTCATAGGCGTTCTTGAGATATTTTATGCCATATAATATTCAATCTAGAATCCTGCCTGAAACATATATATAACTCCGGTTCCTTTGGAGCAATATGTTTCAATATCGGTATATGAAAGTCACTGAATCCTTAAATAGGTATCACATCATCCGCAGACAATAATGGTGTGTTCAAGGGGAGCTTAAATTCAAGCTAGAATCCTCCCAAAAACGGGCTATATTTTTTTCTTAAGTCGCTCATTGTCACCAATTCTTCAGTAAGTCTTGGCATAATAAAAGAA